AACGCGCCAAGCGACGTGCCAGGCAGAGTAGCAAGTAACGTCAAGTATTCTGGCTCGTCGCGCCTATAGCATTAGATGGTGGAAAAGCGTGGCGATACAAATGGCCGGGAGTCTTGGGAGTAAGTCTGTGGCACGTGCCAGACAATTTTTTTATGGGCTCCCGAAGACGACGTGCCAGGCAACATTAAGCATTGTGGAGCCTTAGGAATGAATTTCTAGAATATATCAGGCAATTTGTATTTATAGGCTCCTATAAACGACGTATCAGACAACGTTAAGTATTCTAGCTCGTCGCGCTCCTTTTCGGTGTGGAATTAAATACTAAAAAGCCGTCGCAAACGAAATTACCGGGAACCTTAGAAATGAACTTTAGCCAAATCCCCGAGAATATTAATAATAAGCCTCTAGCACGCACCAAACAATTATTTTATGGGTTCCCGAAGGCGACGTACCAATAACGTTAAATATTCTATTTGAAACGCCATAATGAGGGAAATTGCCGGGAGCCTTGGGAATAACCTCTAATACGTGCCAAGCCTAATATATAGCCCAACGAAAGAAATTACCGAAAAAAAAATTAAAAAATATCTTTAACCAAATTATCGAAATAATTCCCATTAAATATACCGAAAATAATATATTAATCGATATACAAATATTCGAAATTTTTATGAATAGAATTTTAACATATAATTTATATATTAAATATATCAAATATTTATTTATAAATTTCAATAAAATATACCAAATCACAATACTTAAGCGGGGAAACACGAAAGGTAGAGACGGACCGAGTAGCTGTCGGGACCTTTTCTGGTGAGGGACTGTCTCCGGTGTTTCAGGAACGTGCCCCTTGGTCAATCATGGATGAAAACAACAAAGCCAGAGAGTACAAGAAGGCATAAAAAGGCTCAAGAGGAAGTCAAATTGCGCCACACGGCTCTGCAGAGAGGCTGCGTTGCGTCGACGCTCGTTTGTGTCTAGGTGTGTGAAAACAGGCGCGCGTAAAAGTCGAAACGCTCGCATGTGTACCAGCTATAGTCCCACAGCTGCACGCACTGTGTCAGGATTACAAGCCTGCACGCGTTACGTCGAAGCCGCAGTGACCACCCCCCCCCCCCTTATTAGGATAGTGCTAGAGGGATGCGGCCGGTACTGCCAAGGATAGACGTTACGTTATGTGGGTATATGTTCCACGATGCGGTAAAATTTCGCCATGCTAGGATATAAGGCTAAATCGAATAGTGTTCCGCGACGCGAGGGATTTCTCCACAGGGCTTTGCAAAGAGGCTACGTTACATCGATACTCGTTGGTGTCGAGCAATATAGTCTATGGACGTAGTACGCGCTGGGTAAGGCCCGCCGGGTGCGCACGCGCGGCATCGAAACTGCATTGCGCGACCTCATTGCACAGGGTTCGTATGGTATTACGCAACCTGATAGCCAGCGTCGTATTGCTGTGACCGTTAAGCGCATAACTTCACCTTATGTCCAGAATTTAGTAATGCTAGCGACGAGGGAAGGGGACGGGGAAAAAAGAAGAAGAGGGGAAAGGGGGGGGGGGGGGGGGGGGACAAAAAAATTATTTTTAAAAATTTTTTCACAAGGGGGGGGGGGGGGGAGTGTTAGACATTAATCTACCAATCTTTAGTC